GGGGGGGGGGGGGGGGCTAGGTTGGATGAAGGTGTCTATCGCCCAACGATTTCGAATTTGGGTTGGGATAAAATGAGGATCGAGTAGAAAGATTTAGGAACCTCGATTCTCGCGAAAATTGTGGAATTTGTCTAGGTACTGTATGTTTTGGTTTGTCATCTTATCATTACATCTCCCGCTACCGTTCAATTTTTCATAAAACCGAAGTCCGTAATCAACCGCAATCCCGTTGCCAGTCTCTCGTATCTCCACCACCTAGTCCAGATATCTGATCTGCCTTCAATGGAGTGTTTAATCCAAAGGTGGGAACTTCCTCAAGAAGTGACTTGGACATTCGTAACCACCAGGGTTGTTGTTCAAATACCTGGGAAGTACGTTAGCAACCATCTCAATTACTTTTCCACCGAAACACCAAGTGTCTACGAGCAAAATAGTATATCCAGGAAAAACCCACTTCTGATGATACTCCTCCGCATCCCACCACTCCCCCGCCTCCAAAATCTCCGTCACAACCTTCCCCTTCCACCACTTCTCATTAACCTTCCTCGTAACCTCCTCCGCAACACCCTTCTGCCCCTCATCATGCCAAAAAATCCCACTCCGATACTGGCTCCCGCGATCGGGTCCCTGCGCGTTGCTCGTCGTCGGATCATGCATCTTATAAAAAAACTCAATCAACTCCCGATAAGAAACCTTCTCGGGATCAAACGTCACCTGCAGCGCCTCCGCATGCCCCGTCGCACCACTGCACACCGCGCGGTAAGAAGGCGAGGAGGTGTTGCCCCCGATGTAGCCTACTCGTGCGTCGTAGAGGCCTCGCGATTTGAATTCTCGCCGAAACATGTGTTCGACGCCCCAGAAACAGCCGGCTGCTATGGTGGCTTTCTCGGCGCCCGCCGGGAGGGAAGCGGAGGAGTCGGGGGCGAGACGGAGGGAGCTGAACGTGGTGAAGGGGCGGAGGAGACGGGTGAGGAAGAGGGGCATGGTTGCGGCCATTAAGAGGATTGTGATGCCGATGAGGAGGGCGCGGGGGGTGAGTGTGAAAGACAGTTTGTATTATGGTCTTTTAGCTGGTGATGGGAAGTACTTGACGCTTCGTGAAGCTGGGTTTGGGTAGGGGTTTCAGGATGGCGAGGGAGGGGGGATTTATGTATGGAGCTTCGAAGCATACAGGGATGTCAAGTCGTCATTGAGGGGTGCCGAGGCGGCTTTCTCCTGATTCGTCAATGACAAATCGGGCCCTTGCCACTTTGATTCCTCATATATGAGATTCCAAATATTCACATCCAGCAATAAATGATGCATAGCGAAAAGGAAATTATAGGATTACAACAGGACTCATGTCATCCAGGCTCTATAGCTAGAAGTCTTTCGCGGACTCGGAAGTGTTATGTGATAATAAGATTGCGAGATAAAAGCGAACTTGAGCAAAACCACTGATATTTTTAGAACAATTACAATCAACTAACAATATTACGATTACACGGGTGGCATCAACGAAGACATTTCTATCATCCTTCTCCAATGACACATATCACAAGTCCAGCAAATTGGTTAAAAGATATTGATTTATTAAGTGTTTTTTATTTTAGTTTTACACCGAGAGAGAGGAGACTATCCACTTCTGCAAAACACACAAAGCAATCGCTTGACCCCCTCCCCCCACTCGACATGGTATTGAAAGGAAGAAGGAAAAAAAGAAAAGTACAGTATCCTAGGCCCCTCTACTTTCGTCGCTGTTGCATCATCAAAATCTGAACCATACGAATGAAAATATTGAGGAAATCCAACTCCAAGCTAATACTCTCATTAACCGGATCCTTTGGAATCAAACCTCGCTCAGCCATTCGTGCATGTGCGAGAATCTTCTGAACATCATAAAGTGTGAATCCACCAAAGACTGCCAATCCACCATATAGCCAGAGGTTCTCGGTAAATGCGAGGGTTCGGACAGCGGTAACTGGGACAACGAGGGGAGCGAGACCAGAGACGGCGACGACTGCGAGACCGGCCATCAGAGGGCCACCGATGTAGAGGTATTTCTCTTGCTTTGCGGTAGCTCCAACAAAGGAGATGGATCCCATCATTGCCATGGTGTACAAACCGGCCTTAGCCATGATTGCAGGTGGTGCCATGAAGAGAAGAGGGGCGAGGAGGACACCCTGGGTGACGTTGAAGGCAGACCAGAGAGCATATTTCTGCACATAGCTATTGATGTTAGCGGAATCTTCGAAAAGTTCACAAGGACGTAACTTACTTGTCTGGAGAAGTAGCCCTTGTTCCCATCATGGTACCGATACTAACAGCCAATCCACCGATCATCACAATCCAAGGGTTGGTGGCCATCATTCGGTATACAAGTGGTGATTGAAACATAGCTCTCGCCGAAAGGCCGATGATTCCCACACCCAAACCGGTATGCATGAAAGTGTCATTTAGGTATGCGCGTTCGAAAGGTGGCATGCCTCCATCCTCCCGGGTTTCTCGATTGAACATGAGATTTGTGACGACCAATCCTCCTCCCACCAGCGCACCTCCCACAGCTAGCTTTTGCATCAATGTAGCACTACTCGCGGTGGGCGAGGCAGCTGGCATCTGATATGATCTCGACTGTCGGAAGGCATTGCGAGCTTTGGTAAAGGCGTTGAGAGGAGTGGCGGTTCGCGATGAGAAGAAGTTCGTTGCGGGTTTGCTGGGGTGAAATGCGCGTACAGGTGCGGATCTGAAGGCTGATTTTGATGCTATCACAACTGTAGAGCCCATTCGTAATGGCTGTTGCATTGTAATTGCCATCTTGGATGAGTTATTCGTCGACAAGAATGATGGTTGTGGTTGATGGTAGTTCAATTTGAATCATGTAGGAGCGGTCGTTGAGGATCAATTTGTAGATGCCGTTCTGTCGTCGGCCCTTCCAGAGCTCTCTTTGCTTAGCCTCGCCTCGCTTAAAGCGGCATTCACCCACCCACCGAGCTCACCAGGTTCTGTTTACGGAGTATTTGGAGAATACCAACATTAGTCGTCAAAATAATGTTTACTCTACTGTAAGCTTCTAGATGATTGCAAACGATCATTTGATGATAATCGGTTACCTATGCTTTGGAACAATTAGAGAGTAGCGAATGACCGCTATCACTGCCGCTTTGCAAGTGAGTTGGGCAATGACGGTCCTAAAGCCGAGTACCTACTCGAGTAGTACCAGTCACATCTCCAGAGTCAACTTTCCACTATCACCACTGATCAGGAACGTCTTTTACCAATCATTACTTGGCACTCTGTATCGTATTCGTGAATTCAATTCAGAATTCCCATATCAATCCTTCCGTAGATGCACAGTACCTAGATGCACAGTACCTACTGTAGATGCACAATACCTAGGCACCTAGGTATCCGTAGGTGCACAGTAGCTTGGTCGGTGGATTATATCCGGCAATGGAGATTAGTCAAAATCCGCGGCTTATGTCCCCCTCTTCTCCCCTCCAGCTCCCCCGCCGGAGCCTTCTGTACAGGGGTATGGGTGGAAACCTCCTGCGCAAGGCTTCAACCGTCGTCACTTCCTCACCTCATAGGTACGAAGGTAGTTTGACTCACTCGTACTGAGATATTCCCACTTCTTGCGCGTTCTTCCTGCATACAACTCACATGTTCGTCCTATACTACGTCCAGATGATGTAGGTAGAGTACCTATATTCAGGGAAAAGTGATTACATACTACAACCAGAATTGGAAACCTACCTAGGTACTACTCGGTACAATTGGACAAGCCACAATTCCATCTACAGTCTTTCCCATGTTTCCAACGGCCCAAACCGAATCCTCAACCGGCGCATATTCACCACCCGATACTCCAAGTTACGCAGTGACTGCAGAACAGAGAATGGCCTCGCATGCGGCTCCTCATTCTCTCAGTGCGAGATCATGTGTGACGTGTCGTCGACGGTAAGAAGAAATGTGGATATCACGCGAAGGGCAGAGCTGACCTGAGTGAATTGGGAAGCAAAGTCAAATGCGATAAAAAAGAGCCATGTTCCAATTGCGCCAGGGCGGGCTCCGAATGCGTTTTTCCTGCTCCGGGAAGAGCCCCACGGCGACCCAAGGCTGGTGGAAAGGCGACGACGGAGCGAGAGGAAGCATTGTTGAAACGACTCAAAAGGCTGGAGGGCGTAGTAGAAGAACTCTCAGGCCAGGTCGAGATAGAAGCAGGCAGACCCTCTCCCACCAGCGATAGCTCCATGCACGCAGAAGGCGAATCTTCAACCGCACACCCAATTGCAAGACCATATAAGCTGAGGGTGGTCGGAGTAGACGAGAGGACAGGCTCCAAAAAAGAATGGCTCACCAAAGCTTACAAGATTGGGGACGGACCTTCGAAATCTGATTATGGAAGAGATCCCGCCCAGGGGGGACTCGGTCGAATGGTCTTTGATGGTGGGAAAAGTCGATATCTCTCCCACCCCTTTTGGAGTCAGATTACAGATGAAGTTGAGGAAATCAGAGACATGCTAGACGATCAAGACCTTGATTCTGACTCGGATTGCGCACCCGTACCGAAAGATTTTATCACAGATGGCAAACATCAAGGTTTCCTGATGGGTTATAGTAGTACGGATGTCGACCTTCGAAGTCTGCATCCTTTACCCTCTCAAATCCCATTCTATTGGGGGACTTTTCTGGAAAACGTCCATCCATTAGTCAAGATATTACATGCTCCAACAATGACCAAAACAATCAAAGAAGTCCAGAACAATCTGAAAAATCTAAGCAAAAGCACCGAGGCACTCATATTCTCAATTTATTTTGCTACAGTCACGTCCATGAATGCCGAACAAGTACAATCCAATTTTGGCGTCGCAAAAACAACTCTGCTTAATCAATATCGATTTGGAACTGAGCAAGCGCTGGCCAGAGCTGGTTTACTCAATACCAACGAAATCGTGACTGTTCAGGCTTTCATCTTGTTTCTGGTCTGTGTGAGGCGACATGATGACACGAAATTTGTGTGGACTATGACTGGTCTTGCTATCAGGATTGCACAATCTCTAGGTCTACATCGAGATGGCGAGAAGTTTGGCTTGCCCCCATTTGATACTGAGATGAGGCGACGACTGTGGTGTAAGTTGCTGTGGCTTTTCTCTTCATCATTTTTTCACGCTTCTGAAATCTAGGTATTCACCGCCTTTTCTCCACCCTCCGAACATGGTCAAGAGAATTGGCTTATGATGGCTCTCCCCAATTTTCTACCTTTCCAGACTAATGAGTCAACTGATCCTAGAATTTGGATTGATTGCTCTTATTCTCTCCAAGCCTTCGATAAAACTCCGCAATTGCTTTGAACTCTTGCAACAGTTCTAGGCATTGTTCCGCAAAGGTTTAGCTATGAGAGCTGGTTACTACAACATTTTCCGCTTATCACGTGCATATTGCAACAATTCTCTTCCTTCACAAAACCTCTCTTTAAGGAGTCTTTACCTGACAACGACTAATGAATTCCCAGGGCAAGTCTGCCTTTTAGACGTCCGCGCCTCCGAGGACCACGGCTCTGACCCCACGATACAAGACCACACCTTTGACACCGAATTTCCCACTTCATGCAACGACGAAGATCTCTCTACAAACGATACAGTGTTGCCTACTCCCCAACCAGGCGTCTCGGAAATGACATTCTGTCTGATTCGTTACGAAATCTGCAGCCTCTCGCGCCAAATCTCATATGTTCCGCCTGGGCTGAAAAGTAATACTCTGGGTCATGAAGTACTTACCTTTGAGGATAAGCAGGGTATGATTAAGAAGTGTGCAATGCATTTGGAGGAGAGGTATTTGAAATATTGTGAGGATGCGGGACCGCTTTATTGGGTTGCAGCTACGGTTGCTAGGTTGATTATGGCGAAGGTTTGTTTCTGTCTTAAATTCAATACTGACTCCCTTGAACTTTCCACACCTAAAACATCCACTGGGTTTCCTTACGCTTCTATATACCGTTATCATACAAAAACTAACAAACTCCCCAGATAAAACTACTCCTCTACCACCCTTTTACCCAACCCGGCAAAGCCAGCACCCTCTCCCAAGACACCCGCGACAGCCTCTTCATGTCCTCTATCGAGATCCTTGAGTTCTCACAAGTCCTACAAGCTGAAAGCACAACAAAGCAATGGGGTTGGCTCTTCTCAACATATATTCAGTGGCACGCAATTGCGTACCTCCTGGGTGAACTGGCCATCCGTGGTAATTCCACCATCGTGGAGCGTGCGTGGCGCGCACTGGATTCTGTATTTGGTAATTGGGATATGGTTGTCAAGTCTAGTAAAGGGAGTGGGATGTTATGGAAGCCGATTAGAAGTTTGATGGGCAAGGCTCGACTACGGAGGGAGGGGTATTCGGGTAGTGGGATTGGGGGAGGAGAGTTAGAGCTTGGAATGAGGGAGGAGAATATCAGGCCGGCGCCAATGCAGTATGGCAGCGCTTTGCCGACGTTTATGGGGGCGGATGGGAATCTACTTCTCTCTCCATCGGCCACTACTAATCCAACACCCCTCTATCATCCTCCTAATACCACCTCAACCGATCCCATCAATACCACTCTCTGTCCGCAAATCGTGGGTATGGGTATGCTCGCCCCGGAACACATCCAGAATACCCTTCAACGACACCAACAACTTAACCAACTGAATATGCAGACTGGCACTACGCCTTGGCTGATGGATGACAATGCCCTTGTGGACCTGGATATGCAGGGGATGGAGGGCGCGAATTGGGAGGGTTGGGATGAATTGGTGAGGGACTTTCAGATGGATGGTGGTGAGGGGGCCGGTATTGGAGGTGCGGGAGGTGGTGTGGGGGGTGTGGGGGGTGTTTGGTGGTAGGTTTTATGGATGGATAGGGAAGGGGAGAGAGGGGAAATGGAGGGAGAGGATATACTGATACATACCCCTTGATGACTGATCGATTGGTTGGCGTTTTGGGTGCATCTGATTCGGTGGGAAAGGGGGCATACCATATCTCGGGACCTTTGATAGGGCCTTTTCCACTCCCGTTTTTGTATGTATGTATGTACAGTACTATACTTGGTAGCATTGCATCTCTACTCATTCAGGATATTGAATGTACGACCTTACCTTGTGTAATAGTTTGTTATAGCAGCCGGTCTTAGGTGCCGATAGAATGACGAGTACCTTGAAGTCTTCAAAGGGTGGAAATTGATGGGTTTTTTTTGGGATTGTGATATAGGAGCTAAGGGGACCGTCCTGGAAATGAGTGGAGGTTGAGAACAGTGAGTGTACATGTATTGGTGTTTGGTATTTTTTCTGAGGGGCTTGTTGACGGGATGTGTTTGATGGTTTCGCTGGATTGTGATATAAGAGAGGCGAGCGTTGCTTTGTATACGCTATCAAAAGTTATTATACTATGGATGGAATCTAAGGTAGGGTTACATATACAGGTGGCCTTGAAAACTACTCACGTGACTAAATATCTTCAAACAACGTTCGGCGACTGGAACTCCATTCGATTTCAGAGCTCTTGTCTAGAAGTATTCTATTCTATTTTAGGATTTGCTAGAATTATTCTATTCCAGAGGTATATATTCTATAGAATCTATGGAATTTCCATTTAGAACGTTATATAACCCGGATCTGTTCTACCTAGGTCCGGTAGGTTAGTGATTACGAGAGCCTTTATATATAGGGAGTAGATAGAAATTTCCTAGGAGTGCTACTAATATACGTGGAGCTCTAGACATATCACATGATTGACCTCTATCCTTGAATACATCTTTATATTTACTATAAGTGGAATTCCATGTAAGTCCTAGAATTCCAGAGACTAATCAATTGAATAGAATAGTTCCATTATTAAGGTGCTCTAGAAAGATTCCAAGTGGAATAGAATGGAATAATTCCATGGAACATAATTCCATATGCCGAACGTTGTCTTAAACACATCGTTACAATGTATCTTCCCTGTCCCGTAATATTTAAGGGCGACAATGTTAGATCCCTGTGTGTTTAATCTACCTACATACGAGTACCAGTTACAAGTACCATTAAGACTCCGACGTTTCCACGTACTAACTAGAGAAAAGATGTTCCTTGAACAAATCCTTTTTATCTATGCAGGCTCAAGTTATAGAGCTTCAAGAATCGAATATCAACCTATATTTAATTGCTCAAATCCATGAATTAAGGTTACAACGTCTTACATTGTCACTATATCGGGGATACTAACGGAGGTAGCCCTATTGGTTAGGAGATACAGGGGTCGGTGATTTGAAGTTGTACAGGAGGCATTTAAATTATATAGATGTCTCAACGTCTCTAAAATACTGAAGATGCCATCAGTTTAAATATTCATCCTTCTAGTTTGATTTTATCAATCCTTCGAGCTTTGCTGAAAGATAGATTCATCTAGGAGGAAGGGTATTCCTACTCCCGGGACGAATTCCTGCACTCCCTTGGTACTAAATGCAACAGTGCTTACTGTGCTGCAGTACCCCGCACACATGGAGCGTCATTATATGCGTATTGGAGAACGTAAGCTTTCTCCCAACAACATTGTCTTTATGTGAACTATGTAAACCTATTCCTATCGCCGACCTGCCTTCACTTCCGCCGCTAGTCTGGAATGCACGTTCAGAACTCTATGTTCACCAGTTTCACAGCCCACCTGAGGAAGTTTTTCAAGAGTCACACGGATGGCCGTATCATAAAAGTCTAGAAGATCTTCAAGCTTCAGCTGAGATGTGTGATCTCTGCAAGTTGATTTTGGTACAAGCAGACCATCTTATCGCAGAGTTTGAGGGGCTGAATAAGTCCAATCTCATTCGACAAAATAGCCCATCATTTGATCTTTGGCTTACCAAGCGGCGACACGGCGGCGATGGCTTCTGGGTGTTTACTAGCGGAACACCAAGGCTGATTAATCGCCATGTGACCTTCTTTTTGGTGGCTGCTGTTGGAATTTGTGTCGCTGAAGGTTAGTGCACGATACTCGGGGAAGGCATTGATCTGATCCATCCAGATTCCCCAATGGCCAAATTACTACCTGGACGACCCGTTGATGAACACACCCATTTAGAGGTAATATTGAATCGTATATCAGCATGGGTAAACACATGTGATGCGCAGCATCTGGAAAGCCATTGAGGCAGTGGCATAGCAATGGCCGCATCCCTTACCAGAATCTGGACACTTGATGAGAAAAACTGAGAGGATGAGTGACAATAAATGGCACCGCTATCGAGCCTCTCTCGTCTCTTCATATATTCAAAATCATATCCGTTTGTATATACGGAAGGGTTTTCAACATCCTCATGTGCTCTATTGGCCAAGAGTATGACGCGAACGAAGGTATTAAAATCCCAAAATCTTACCTTGGAGACTGTAGATTCCTTCATAATCACCGTTTCCACAGCTGAATATTGGGAAATGAACCATGAGGGTGATATTGGTGATCAGGGATGACAGCTCTGGACCAATCATCTTAAGAAAACTCAAAGTTGGGCTTTCGACCTCGAACATGGCGTGTTGATGCTGCGTACACGGCCCATCATTATTCTGACAGAATACAACTTCAGTTGCAGCCTGCGCGCAACTTCCCGTACTATCGAGATGTGTCTCTAATGGGAGAGCTGGGAATATGTTTCTGACTGAATTCGGTACATTGAATATGGTAGTAGGCCAGAAGATGAAATTATTTCGTTTGTAAATGACTTGAGAAGCCTCCATATAAATGGTCTTGCAGGAAAGAAGGAACCCAATACAATTGAATCGTGATTTAGAGAGACTCTTGTATTCTCGGTGTTTGGTGTGGTGTGGATCGGAATCGTCAAGGATAAAGCAGTAATCATAGATTCGGCAACGAATATCTATTTCCGGCGTAAGACTCATTAACCAGGACTCAATTTCATGCTCAAAGTACCCGTAATAGCTTTATCCAAGAACTCTGGCACATGCTGAGAAGGGGGGCATTGGAAACAACGGCATCCTGCTTCATGTGGTTTTGCGGATAACTTCATTAACTTGTCTCTCTTTTGTTGCTCCTGAACATTGATGTTGTTAGAATAATTCTGCTCTATTGTTGGGTTATAGGAGTGTTGATAATGGGCTCTGAAGATCAAAGTACCTTGACTTGTCTTTGACGCGCAATCTGGTAAACCACCTCGTATTCCAAGGGCCTAACATCTCTCTCCAGGTTCACCATTAGATATTCGACCGCTTCGGCGTTGTCCAGCAGATACTCGCCAGTCGCTCCTTTTTAGAAATAGTCGCGCCCGGGGGCGACGGTCAACTCCAACTCTCGCAACGTAATTACCATCGGTGGTGAAGTTGGGAGACGATAGATGAGCTCGCCTGCCTCATCCCTAAAGATGCAGGGTGGAGTTGTGACACCGTTTTGCGTATTCCCATCATCGCCCGGTCCATGGTCATGATAATACTCAAAATCGTCTTCGGTCAATTTCGAGAGGAACCCATCCAGAGTTTGTGCGTTCTCGTCTCTCATTTTGAAGATAATGATCTAGTGTTGGCGGTTCTTGCAGTAGATTTTAGACTTGGGTAGGCTGCTGGAACGAAAGAGGATATGAAGAGCAGAAGAGTCCAAGACTCGAATTTGTGAGGGGGGTTTGGCAAGGAAGTTCAGTGATGAGGGTAGGATTAAAAAGCAGGTACCACCACACCCGCCTACAGCCTCGCTGCCTTGTCGATGCCTTGCCCGATCGGAACAACGCCACCATTTCCACATCATTCAATAGATATCTAACCCCATTACTTAGGAGGCAGTGCTTCTCGAATAAATTGTATTTGGTTACACTTCAAGGACCACATCCAATTATCAGTTCCAGGCTTCTACCAAGATTGCATTCGCTCTCACAGCTGCATACGAAGCTCTGTGATGAAGGAGTAGTAGATATGATAGAGCGGTTAACAGGAAGGTTCAAAGCGCACCCAGTGAGTGGTCATTCTATTTAAGTTACAGCCGCATATGCAGCAACTCAACCGGGTACGGGAATGCCTATATACAAAGTAAGATTTGAGCCTAGATGCCTTCTTGGATATCCTTGAGCTCAGAATATACAGGCCAGAAGAACATTGTTTATCCCAAACTCAATTCTCGCATGCTGCGAGGGGAAAATTTGGGTGGTTGTTATCTGTTCACGTGATGTTTATTTCTCCCCTTGCGCGTTCGCTTAATTAAGCGAACAGTATGTAAACCCCTGTTTAGATAGATATTGAACCTTTTTAGAAGCTTTTCAAACACACAAAACCTGTGTTCTGATATATATGACAGATCTGTGATCAAATGATAGAAAACATTCCACCATCTTTTGTGGTTTATCATTAGTATGATTGAGACTTTTGTTTAATTCAAGGCGAGCCAACATGGTTTTCCCTTGTAGGTCTCGCGAAGTTCACAAATCACTTCATACAGACTGGGTATCACAAGATCTTCGCTCTGTAAACCGCTCTTCCACCGCATTATTTGTCCTGATCTCTGATGCGCTATTATGATGTTTAATCTAGCACAAAAGCTTCGTAGCAACAAAGGCAGCTGAAAATGAACCATGGAAACGTCTCTTGCCCGTAGATGCCTCATCCCCAAGGAGAAATTCACAAATGCATTCTCTAACATACTCCTCATCTCCATACTTGATGTTTGTGTAATCCTTTCCACGTTGGAGGCCATACCAAGTTGCAGGCGTATACCCATTCTCCAAACACCTGAGGTAGCTGCTTCTCCACTTTTCACGAAGCGCTTTTTTCTGCTGTTTACACACAGGTTCTCCCACCCAATCCTCTCCAAGCCCCCAATACATATTTCCACCTATCTCCGATTCCAGGACCAGCTTCACGCCCGGAAGAAACACCCTGACAATCCCTAGTGTCCGACCAATACACTCTTGACAGTCTACGAGCAGATGTTGGTAAGCAGGTTGGCTTCTTACGATAACGTTGAAAACCTGGTCGAATCCACTCAGGACAAGAGTCAAGGTCCTATGACCAGGGCACAGGCTTCCGATTATCACAGCCAAAATTGGAACTTCCTCATAGACGTTCACGATTTCGCGGAGAAAAAGAGCAGGTGTTTCCGGAACCGTGCATCTTTCAAGAATCAGGACGTAAAGTCCACTCTGATCTTCGTTTCTTGAAGATACGCTGTGTTCCGCCACCCAATTGTATTGAAGTAACGAAGAATCGTGTTGCATCTAGAAAAAGTGTTCTGCTTCTTGATTTTCCTTCTGTTGGTATAACTTTTCGCTCATCAGGGTAAAACCCGTCGGTCATAATTGTTCAACTAAGGGGTGTGAAAGAATAAGTAAGGTTATCTTACTACAAAAAAAAAGGGG